CGGTCGGTTGGAGGCCATCAGGAGAAATCTCGGGGCTGATGGAAGTGGGCATGAGCCCTCACTCGCCCCGCAAAGAGACTGGAGGTTTTCTACCTCTGTGGCTAAATTCCTTCCCTCAACCTGCTTGGGAAGTGACCTGATGGTGTGATAGTATCAGTCCTCAGCTCAATAATCTTATCTTCCTGGGGTCTTATGCATGTAGGGTGTGTGAAGGCAGAGCATCTGTCTTATCGCTGCAGGCTGACTCTTGGTAATAGCAGCTTGCAGGCATGGGTAATCTGGCTTGAGCAAGTTCTCAGGAATGAGACTCACAGACTGTGGAGAGAACAATGCTACTTCCGGGTAGGTGGAGAAATAAAAGCGGTGTGTCGGCCCGATTTGGGGCTTTTAGTCCACGAGGCTGGAGACCCTTGGCCCCACACTCATTTAACTCTTGATTGCTGTTTCTTTTATTTCTTAACCCTTCGCCGCCCCCTCTCATTTTCCCACTGCTCATGTCGTGCGGGACACGACATTCTATAATTGTTAAAAATATATATTTCTACTAAGGATAGGATAAATAAATGTTTAAATGAATAATGAACCCCATTCCTGAGAAGAGGGATGGTCAAAGAATGGACTAAACCAGCCCGCCCCAGACCCTACTGAATCTGGAACAGGAATCTGAATTTTATGCTCCTACCCATTCTGCCACCCCCCTGGAGTTTAAAGACCTCTGACCTTTGGCTGGGGACCTGGATCTGCCTTAAAGCCCAAGGAGGAAGTGAAGCTGCCGCCCTGGTGGCCACCGAAGGGTGTTCATGTGCAAACGCCTGAATAGCTCTCGGGGTGGCCAGGAGAGGCTCCTGGCTCCTTCTTGTGCTGGACTGACCCTCCCTGGGACCATGAACATGATCTGACGTGTCTACTAGGACTTCTCACACAATAAATCAGGCTACATCGGTTTCCTTTGTTCCTCTAACCTGCCAAACTCTTCCCACCTTAGGGCCTTTACCCTTGTGGTTCCCTCTGCCAGGCACACCCTCCCTCTATCTACACCTAAGGCCACTTCCATCTCCTCCTCCTGGACTCAGCCTAAATGTCACCTTCTCAAGAGACCTTCCCCAGCCCTGTCTAGAGAGGCCTCCCTGCTATTCCCAAATCTCATCTCACTTCTCACCTTAATACAAATTGTAATTATTTCCTGTATTGTTTATTTCATCTTGCTCAGATTCTCTCACTGGACTGTAAGCTGCTGGAGAAGCAGTGTCTAGAACCAAGCACAGTGTCTGGCACACAGTAAGCCCTCAGGAAAGAATGGTTGAATAAATGGTTAATAAATATTCATCCAAGTCAAACTTCTTGAAAGCCAATTTACTAGAGGAGCAGGGGTCTTAACCTGTGTCAATGGGCATGCCTTAGGAAGACCATGAAAACCCTGTTACTGTGAGAAACATTGTTCAACTAAGTACATTTTGTTTTTCTGAACAGACAAACCAAAGTGCTCATCTCAGTTCCAAAATACCCCCACCCCACAGGTAAAGAAGCTTGTTCTAAGGAAAGTTATTTGACATAGCAAAGGAGATTGGTAATGGACGAGGTTTGGGGTGTCTAGCAGCTCTCTCTTCCTAAGGAAACATCATGTTACCACTCTGGGGAGAGCAAGACAGCCTGCTGGGGGTGCAGCTCGGCCTCGTCCAGGCTGGGAGCTCCACAGGCCTCTGGGTTTCTCTAGCTCCCCGGCCCCGCATGTGTGGTGTGAAGGTGGAATGAGATCACACACAGAGCAGGCACAATGAATGAGCCCTACCAAATGAATGTCAGTGCCACAATCCTTGTAGGTAGTTTTGTAGGTAGCTGCTTACAGAGCAGTGTTCCTCATTCCTCCAGTACCCTCTCTGGGTGGGGAGGGCACCAGCCAACTTGTAGCCTTTCCCGGAAATGTCAGTTCAAGCTCCATCTCTTCAGGGAGGTCTTTTCTCTGATTACCCCCTTCCCCTTTGACCTGGTCTCCCTCCACTGTGCCCTTGCATAGCACTTCCCCCCCTACCCCCCACCCCTTCATGCAGGGCCACACTTCATAACCACATGCTCGTGGCAGGAACAGTTGAAGACCATCAGTCTCCCCGTGGGTATGTGAGCTCCCTGAGGATGAGGGACCTGCCTGGCCATTCTCTGTTGGATCCACAGAGCCTACGGCACCTGGCACTTAAACAGCACAAAATGACTTTAATTGCTCTGTTTGTTAAATGAACAAGAGCAAAACCCACGATCTGAACAGATGTCTACAATCTCCCTACAGGCTCTGAACCACTATGGCCATGGCTGCCGTTCAGCCCCCCCAGTAGTAAATTCTGCCTGCTGGAATTGCCAAAACAGTGGTGCTCTCATTTGCAAATGTGCTCCAGAGGCGACTCCTTGATGCGCTGTGCACTTCTGGTGTCCCAGGCACCATCGCTGGGTTTTTCGTACTTGGTGTCATTTACTCCGCCAGCATCCCTGGTTTACAGGTGAGGAAGCTGGGGCTCAGAGAGGTGAGGATGAGGATGGGGACAGCAGTAATCATAGCAACATGGATTTTGAACATTGTCCTGAGTGTGATTCCCTTTAATCCTCACTACAGCCCTGAGCTCTGTACAACTAGCTCCCTCCTTCTACAGATCTGGAAACTGAGTTTGCCAAGAGAGATAGCCAGGATTCCACCTTGGTCTCTATGACTCAGAAGCCCACACTCTTAACTGCCAAGTTAAGATTGATACATGATCCAGGGCTCTCCCCTGAGCAGTGCCTTCCTGCAACCTTGTCAGACCCCAGACTCCGAAAGTCAACATCCTCCACGTCATCGCCATTTCTGGCGACCTGTGACAACAACCTGTGATGGGGTGGAACTGACAACCCACAACCCACCCCCAAGTTCAGGCCTCCAAAGAGTCAAGGACAACAGGTTTGTTTCTCCCAACAATGCCCATTCTTCTCCAATTTTCTTTACAAAAAAAATTACAAAATCCCAACTGGTTACACAAGACCAGGAAGACTAGAAAAGTAAATTTCAAAGTAATTGATACTCTACAAATATCCCCAAGGGCAGCATGAACCCTGAAAGATAACTTCGAATTGGAAAAGCCATTATACTGAAGTAATCTTTCCGGTAGGATCTCTTACGAAACCAGAAGCCAAGTGCCTAAAGATGACTCCCAAGCTTCTGTGAAATTTGCAAAGGAAGGGCATCTCCTCCATACCCTGCGGGGAAAGCACAGAGAGTGAAAAGCGCCTTTGTCTCAGAGTTCACAGCAGCTGAATTGAGGGACCCAGACACCTGGGGTCTGGGTAGACGCAGGAAAGTGGACAACGGACAGAGTGGTAACAGGTAATGTCAGAGAGGACACCTGGACCTTCCAGGCCAGGGAGGCATTGTGGAGAGTTTGGCGTTCGCTCTGTGTGCAGTGGGAAACTTTGGAGGGTTTTGAGCAGAGTGCCATGGTCTGACTGTTATCGGCGCAGGGGTCCTTGTCCCTCTCAGGACAGAAAACAAAGGAGTGGGTGAAGCAGTTTTGCAGAGAGAAAGATTTATTAAAGCGAAAGCTTGATGCACCAAGGGAGCACACTCCAAAAGAGAATGGGTGTGGCTTCCCAGGCTGACAGGCACCGTGGATTTATAGGCTCTTGGGGTTGGGGGCCACCCCTTCCCCTTTCCTTTTTCACTCCCCAAAGTATAATATGTTGAGGCAGGTCCTACACTGCGCTTGCACAGTGTACCTATTTGTTATGTCGTGAACCACATGTCTCATTAGTATCTTAAATATCCACTTAGGGGAGTGTTTTTATTACAATAATGAGGAAAAATTAATTATAGGACAACTCTTTTAACTACTATGCATGTGGGTCTTTAGAAATTTTCCCCCAGCTTCAGGTTCTGACTGTTGACCACCTTACGTCACCACCCACTACACGATCTACATGACTTATGTCTTAAAATAATTGCTCAGGCTGCTGTGTGGAAGAGATTGTAGTTGGGCAAGGAAAGAAGCCAGGAGACCACATGGGACACCCCTCCAATAGTTCAGGTCAAAATAATGGCTGAAAAGGATTTGTTAGACGTGGTCAGATTCTGGATGTGTTGGCTGGTGGGTTGAGGGAGATGAGGAAAGGGGAGTCAAGGGGACTTCAAGGGCTAGGCCTGGAGCCCCTGGATGGACTGCAGTGCCATTTCTTGAGATGGTGAGGACAGGGAGGTTTGAACTGAATTCTCTCTGAACCCCCTACACTAGAGCAACAGGATAAACCTAGCACTTTGGCTTCGAGAAACTCTGTCTCCCTCCTAAAAATCTTATTCACAAACCATAACCCATTCATTCATTCATTCATTCATTTCATTTAACATGCATTCATTAGTAACTGCCATGTGGTAAACATGGGAGGCACTGGACATATGAGGATTCATTAGACTCATATCTGCCCTAAAGAAACTGATAATTTGGTGGGAGATTCAGAGATAAGCCATCGTCACTCATTCATATATTGTCATTTAGTCACCCAGCAAACATTCACTAGCACTTAGTTTCTGGCAAACAAGCATTGTGGTAGGCTTTGAGGATGATCTTGCCCTTAAGAAAGTCCTAGTCGAATTGGGATTAGCCTTTCTCACCCATTCATTCATTCATTCATTCATTTGTTTGTTCATTCACTGAAGAGTCACCAACATCCAGCCTGTGCAGAGTCTGGGAGAGGATTCCTGATGGATGACACAACAGTGGGCTCTACTGGGCACCTCCAAGCAACAAAGCCTCCTGCTGGAGCCCTGGCCCCCCCCAGGGTTCCACCTGATGCCTTCATCATGTGAGCAGCTTCCAGAGCCCATCACAACACCTCCCCACAGCATGCTGCGGGGAGGGCGGGCAGTAACTCTGGTGTCATCTTCCTGCAGAAAACCATGAGTCCGTCCATCCCAGAGGCCACCCCCACAGCCATCTGCCTGGGTTCCATCTGACTTTTCTTGACACCTGCAGGTCCCAGACCCCAAGATGTGTCCACACTGGAGGCTCCTGGTCCTCCTCAGCTTGCGGTCCTTGTCCTTGGCACTGCACAAGCAGCCCTGGCCTGGCCTGGCCTGGCCTGGCCAAGGCCCACATGGACAGCAAGTCCACGCTGGCAAGAAGTTAAGCCCATGTTCTCTGCCCACTGTAACCAGGTGGGTGGGAAAGGCATCATCTATGCCTCACTAATGACTTGCTAGGTGACCTCGGGTCAATCACTTACCCTCTTCCTTTTTTCTTAGACCTCAAGTACAGACAATTAAGGTTCAGTTGATCATATACCAATTTCTAGCACATCATCATTATCATGAATCATGGCAATGCCCCTCCTTTATTTGATTTTATGTTATGTGTTTTACTCTCATTCCCATTCCCCTCTTCCTTGGAAGGCACTGCAGTGTGTTTAATATATGTGTTTAAATAAGCCCATATCTTTGTAAATCAAAATATGTGGCGTTTTGATTTACATAAATAGCATTGCCATACAGATCTTATTGTTTGGGGCTGGTTTCACTGGACACTATGTATACTATTGACATCTGTGGCTTCAGACTGGTGCAGTAAGTCCATGAGATTTTATCCACTTCACCACCACTGACCATTTCCCCAGGGATGGATGCTTGAGTTGTCTGTAACTTCCTCCCCTCCTCCATTATAAACTATGCTTAGATGAACATCCTTGCATGTGTTCCTGTTAGGACCAATAGCAGAATTTCTCTGGGATATACCCAGAAGGGGGATGGCAAGGCCCTAGGATAGATGCAAACTCAATTTACCCAAGGACTGCCGGATTGCACTGTTGCTGCGCCTCTACAATCACTCCAGTAATAAACAAGCACATCTCTTTCCCCATGTTTCTCAAAACTGTAGAGTATCCATCTGTCTCAGTCAACCTGGGCTGCCATAGCAAGATACCACAGACCGGGTGGCTTACATAACACATATTTTCTTACAGTTCTAGAGGCTGGAAGTCCAAGATCAAGGTGTCCACAAGGTTGGCTTTTGGTGCAACCCCTCTTCCTGCCTTGCAGATGGCCACCTACTTGCTATGTGCACTTTCCTCTTAATGTGGACACAGAGAGGGTGCACTCTGGTGTCTCTCTTCTTATAGGGACACCAGTCCTATTGGATGAGGGCCCCACCTTTATTACTTTATTTAATCTTAATTACCTCCTTCAAGGCCCTCCAAATATAATCACATTGGCGGTTAAGGTTTCAATATATTAATTGCAGGTAGGGGAACACAATTCAATACATGACACTATCTTTGTAATTTTTGCCAGTCTGATGTGTAGTTGATTGAGATCTAATTGTTTTAACTTTACTTTATCTGATTAGTAGGAAGTTTGAGCATCTCATAATAATTTTGTCAACCGTTTTCACTTTTTTGAATTCCCTGTTTTATTTTTTGTACATTTTATTACTTGTTTTCCTTGTTTATTTGTCTTTTTTTGTCTCCTTTGATTTGAGGAGATGTTAATTTATTTTTGACATTAGTCCCTTGTCAGGTGTAAACATTGCTAACATTTCTCCCAAACTGTCATCTATCAACATTGTTGGTAGGTCCTTCACTGAACAGGAATATTTTCAAACTCACCAAATTTCATCTCACGGTTTGTGTTTGATAAGTCTTAAGCCCTTGTCTTTTCCCTAGACTTTGCTTCTTTTTGTAACATGCAGGATTTTAATCCATTTGGAGACCATCTTTATGTATCTTTATGTATGTAAGTTAGAGATCAGCCTCACTTCTCTCCATATAATAAGCCTGTTTTCTCCATCTACTAAATGATCAAGTTCCCAAACACATGGATTCTCTTTTTTTTTTTTTTTTTAAGATTTTTTTTTTATTGGGGACTTGGGAGGATGGGAACAGTGCTGG